TACTGTTCACAGAGGGCTGAGTGATACTAGCAATCACAGCATTGTAAGAGGGGGACAGTTGAACCTGGAGGCTCCACCCCTGTTTAATGATGGACGATTTCTTTTCACAAAGATGGCCTCCTTTACTCCTCTCTCAAACCATCGTTCCTCTCTGTCCAGGATGTGAACATCTTCATCCCTGAAAGAGTGACCGCTGGCCTGGAGATGAGTGTAGACCTCAGAGTCCTGGCCTGATGATGTTGATCTTCTGTGCTGGTCCATCCTTTTGGCCAGTGGCTGTTTAGTTTCCCCGATGTAAGACTGATCACCCTCCTGACACTGAACAGCATACACAACATTGCTCTGTTTGTGCCGGGGGACTGGATCTTTGGGATGAACCAGTCTTTAATGTATTTTGGGGTTTAAAAGCCACTGGGACGTTATGTTTAGAAAATAAACGTCTCAGTTTCTCTGATACTCCCTCAACATATGGAATGACCACTGGTCTGGGTCTGGGTTCCTCCTTTTCACCTGTTGGCTGACTGGAGTCCTGTTTGGGTTTCTTCTCTGCTTTCAGGAAGGCCCAGTTAGGATATCCACATTGTGGATATCCTAACTTCTTTGTGAAAAGAAACCGTCCATCGTTAAACAGGGGCGGAGCCTCCGGGTTCAACTGTCCCCCTCTTACAATGCTGTGATTGCTAGTATCACTCAGCCCTCTGTGAACAGTAAACAGCCATCAGGTGCTAATGATCCATTGTTAGGCTGATGGTCCTTCTTGATCATGTGATCAGCTGGTTTTGGTTGTCAGCAGCAAACTGGTTGATCCACTCTGAGAAGGTGCTATTTAAGAGACTGAGCTGAATACAGCACCTCAGACTGAGGAAGTCTCTTGGATGAGAGACGAAACGTTTCTATATTTTTTTGCCTTGTTTTGTTTTTTGTTTTTCTGAATGTCCAGAGGACCAGATTTAACTTTTTTGGATAGATGCAGCATTGTATATACCATGGGGTTCAAAGCCTGTGAAAAACGTAACTGCTTATACGCAGGCAGAAAGTATGGTACTTGCATCAATCCACATCCCACTACCTCACTGAGCTAAAGGTGGGATGAATGGAGACCTGTGCGTTCAGACTGAGGTCACTTTGAAAAACGTGAGATTCAGTAGCAGGCATGACAAAGACCTGGGTCAGGTCCGTTCCGTTCAGACGTGAAAATAACTCAAATTTGGACTTTTGTTTCTTGATTCATGAACAGAGCCTCAGTTACCATGATGGTATGAGTGATACATTTAGTGATTTTTATTTGTTAGTGTTTGTGGCAGGGGAGAGCGTGGCCAGACAGCATTGGATGGTTGTGTGTAGAATGACTGTTGTTGTGAAGAAGAGAAAAAGAGTCAAATCAGAGAAGAAGACCAAATGGTGGAAGATGAAGAAGGAAGAATGTTGTGATAAGTTCAGAGATGAGCTGTTAAAAGCTCTGGGTGATAAGAAAGAGCTTCCAGATGACTGGACTGCTACAGCAACAGTAATTAGAGAGACAGGTAGGAAGGTACTTGGTGTGTCATCTGGACAGAGAATGGATGATCAGGAAACCTGGTGGTGGAATAGTGAAGTGCAGGAAGATGTTCAAAGAAAGAGGTTAGTCAAGAAGAAATATGACAGAGGGAGGACTGAAGAGAGGAGACAGGAATATAAGGAGATGGGACGTAGAGCAGAGAGGGAGGTAGCTAAGGCAAAGCAGAGGGCGTATGATGAGTTGTATGGGAGACTGGACACTAAAGAGGGAGAAAAGGACTTGTACTGATTGGCAAGACAGAGGGATCAGGCTGGAAAGGATGTGCAGCAGTTTAGGCTTGTTAAAGATATGAATGGTAATGTTCTAAAAAGTGAGGAGAGTGTGATGGAAATATGGAAGGAGTAGTTTGAGGAGCTAATGAATGAAGAGAATGAAAGAGAAAGAAGAGTAGAGGTCACAGAAACTGTGGACCAGGAAGTGGGAAAGATTAGTGAGGGTGAAGTCCAGAAAGCTCTGAAAACAATGAAGAAGGAGAAGGCAGTAGGACCTGATGACATTCCAGTGGAGGTTTGGAAATGTCTTGGAGAGATGGCAGTGAGGTTTTAACTCAAATATTCAATGGCATATTTGAGGGTGAGAAAATGCCTGAGGAATGGAGAAGAAGTGCTGGTGGCCATTTTTAAGAACAAGGGTGATGTACAGAGTTGTAGCAACTACAGGAGAATTAAGTTGACGAGCCACACGATGAAGATCTGGGAGAGAGTTGTGGAAGCTAGACTAAGACAAGAGGTGACTATCTGTGAGCAGCAGGATGGTTTCATGCCAAGAAAGAGAAAGAGCACCACAGACGCCATCTTTGATTTGAGAATGCTGATGGAGAAGTATAGAGAGGGTCAGAAAGAACTCCATTGTGTCTTTGTGGATTTAGAAAAAGCATCTGACAGAGTGCCAAGAGAGGAGGTGTGGTGTTGCATGAGGAATTCTGGAGTGGCAGAACAGTATGTTAGACTGGTACAGGACATGCATCAGGACAGCAGGACATGTATGAGGACAGCAGGACAGTGGTGAGATGTGCTGTAGGAGTGACAGATAGCTTCAAGGTGGAGGTGGGAGTGCATCAAGGATCAGCTCTGAGCCCCTTCTTGTTTGCTCTGGTGATGGACCAACTAACAGATGAGGTCAGGCAGGAATCCCCGTGGACTATGATGTTTGCAGATGACATTGTGATCTGTGGTGAGAACAGGTGGAAGAGAACTTGGAGGCGTGGAGGTATGCACTTGAAGAAAGAGGAATGAAAGTCAGCCGTAGTAAGACAGAGTCCATGTGTGTGAATGAGAGGGAGGAGGTGGAACAGTGAGGCTACAAGGAGCAGAGGTCACAAAGGTGCAGGACTTCCAAGGACTTTGGGTCCACTGTCCAGGAAAATGGGTAGTGGGTAAAGAGGTGAAGAACAGAGTCCAGGCAGGATGGAGTGGATGGAGAAAAGTTTCAGGAGTGGTTAGTGACAATAAGGTGTCAGCAAAGGTCAACGGCAAAGGCCTCGGGGACTCGTTTACCAGAGAGACCTGGTTTTAACAAAGAGTGATGACAACAAAGACAACAATAGACAATCACTTGGAGTGAGGACAGAGTGAGATGGAGGAGGATGACTTGCTGTGGTGACCCCTCAAGAGGGAAAAGGCAAAAGAAGATGATTTGTAAAAGTGTTGGAGCATGTTTCATTTTCCTTCAGCTTGGGTCACGAGTTGTTTGTGTGGCTCCGTCACATAAACCCAGTAAAACATGTTAACGTCTGTTGGAGCAGACGAGACGTTCAGGTGCTTTGAACGTTTCTTAAAGGCCTGACGGTGAATGCTGCTGCAGTTTAAAGACAACTTCCTGTTTCTGACATGACCGCTGCTCTCCTGCTGATGGTGAGAAATGTCCCTTCTCTCTTTCTGTAGGGAGTTCTGGGAGACGTTGCACTTGTTCAGCGAGGAGCAGAAGCGCCTCTTCCTGCAGTTCACCACCGGCACCGACAGAGCGCCCGTGGGCGGACTCGGCAAGCTGAAGATGATCATAGCGAAGAACGGTCCTGACACGGACAGGTGAGCTGGGCTTTAACAGAATGCAGGGTCAACTCTGACAAAAGAAGCATGCGTTGCCCATAATGCAATGTTCCAGAGTGTGATCTGTGACCTTTGACCTTGTGCAGGTTACCAACGTCCCACACCTGCTTCAATGTTCTGCTACTGCCGGAGTACAGCAGCAAGGACAAGCTAAGGGAGAGACTGCTGAAAGCCATCACCTATGCCAAAGGGTTTGGCATGCTCTGAGCCCCCCCCCCCCCCTCCCCCACACACTAACAGACCATGAGCCCCCCGCCCCCATCCTTTATCAGACGCAGTCCAAACGGTGACCAGCGCACACCGGGGGGTGTTTGAGGAGAAACGGTGAATAATAAAAGGACAAATGGTTCTAAGTGAGCGCTGTGCCTGCATCATCTTACATGAGTCAGTGTTAGCACAGAAAGTACCCCCCCCCCCCCACGTCTACATGTGTGTACAGAGAGGATCACTTCCCTTCGTATTTATTTTAAGGTTGAATGGCTTCCTGTCTGCTCGTAAAGGGGTGTAAATGTGGGACAAATGAATAAAGATCAGTTTATTGAAGTAACCCTGATCTATTGAATCCTGAAGAACCCGTCTAGCTTTAGAGGAGGACACACTCCACAACAAGGTAAGCGTCTGGAACCTCCTGTCCACTGGTCCAACATGGCACATGATCAGACATCTGTCCTCGCCTTCTGTTCCTGGGCCTTAGTTTGTCTCTTTCTGCGGGGGGTTGGGCGCACTGCTGGTTAGAGCTGTGTAAAGTGCACTTAGACATTTTGAGAATGTTTATTTCTTTGGGCCACAGGCTGCCATGATTGTTTGGAGCGTTTCATTTCCTTGTCTTCCTGTGTTGATTCTGAATAAAAAGTGTTTGTATACGTGTGCAGTTGGAGCTGCAGCACCATACGGTCCAACTACACATGGGGTGGGGTGGGGGGGGGCAGCGGCAGATTACATGATTTGCTTCATGAAGGGGATGGATCATTGAAGGATTGATGGTGGCTAGACAGGTGAATGATGGATGTCTCAGACCCATGAAAGAGGACCAGAGTCCCAGTCTGGTTTGATCCAGTTCACCTGAGAAGTTCTGCTTCTTTCTGCTCTTCAGTTCCAGTTCTGTGTGCCGAGCCAACCCACTGAGAGCTACTCGTTCCTAAGTGGAATAGGGATGGGGCCGATCCGATCCAGTATCGTATCGGCCTCCGATACCATCATAATTTACGTATCGGATTTTTCCAATCCATGATGCATGTTGGCTTCAAACTACTGAATGGACTTCCTGAATGGAGGCGTGTCTCATGAACCCAGAGTAATAAGACCCGCCTCACATTCAGGAAATCCAGTCCATAGTTTGCAGCAGCTACAATGTGAGAACTGAGTTAGCAGCACTGTGGCTAACAGCTAACAAACTTTTCATCTAAACATGTCGCTGTGTGGAAGTATTTTACACTAAACACCACAAAACAAGACAGCAGCGTGCACTGTCTGCAGAGCCACAGCGCCACATTAAACCGCGGTAAAGTTAGTTTTATGTTGGACATTCGAGCTCCGGGGCTTCAGGGGGGCGCTGCTCTTTGCTCAACCCAAAAGAGGCGACTCGACCTCGGCCAGCCGTGTCCAATCTGCCCCGCTCAGTCTGCCCGTCTCTGAGGAGGGACAGACTGAGATCCAGCCAAGATCTAGTTTACCCTCCAGGAGATATTTATCAGTACAACAGTAGACAATCATAAAAAACATGTGATTTGAAAATTATATTAAAAACAAAAACAGCTACATTATAAAGTGATGTAAAATACTAAAAACAGGAACATGTCTGTTGGTTTATGCCATGAACTTAGCAGATGTTTGAAGCCATTTAACATTTTATTTAATTCATTTATTCATTTAAAAGAAACAAAATAAAAATAAAAAATCATGAAAAAGAAAACATTGAATGAAAAGAGTTCAGAAAGAAGAACAAAAATCTTATTTCTGTCCCTTATTTAAAAAAATATAAAGTAACTTTAAACAATCACTTAAATTAATCACTTTAATATCCAGTTTAAAACTAGGAATAAAAAGAAACATGTTTTGTGTTAGAATTTAATTCTAACTTTAAAACTTATCCAACATTAATAAAACTTACATCAAGTTGCCTTTTTGGACATGCATGCATATATTTGTACAGATTGTACTTGAGAGGAGATTATTACAGCCTCATATAAAATCAGTGATGATCATGATATCGGAACTGGATCAGTATCGGACGATATTCAGACTTGGGTATCGGGATCGGATCGGAAGTAAAAAAAAAAAGTGGATCGGTGCATCCCTAAAGTGGAACCTACATCCAGATATTGGTACGATCCCATCAGTAAACCTGGATTCACTGAGGGGTTAGAGAACTGAACATGTTACATCTCTGAATGTAAAGGTTCTGTCTGCTCAAGGACCAGACAGGACAACCTTAACCAACACTGAGACCAGAAAAACTTCTGGCCCGCTCCAAGTTCTGCTTCTGGTTCAGCCATCTTCTACACACTAGGCATTCAAGGACACACTGGGTCATTCTGAGACACACTTGGGTCATTCAGAACTCTGGGGTCATTCAATGACACATTGGGGGTCTTTCAGATACACGAGGGGTAATTCCAGGACACACAGGTCATTCAAGGACACACAGGTCATTCGGACACAGGTCATTCAAGGATACACGGGTCATTCATGGACACTGGGGCCTTTCAGGGAGACACGGGGGTCATTCAATGACACACGGGCTATTCATGGACACACTGGGGTCATTCAGACGGACACGGGTCATTCAAGGACACAGGTCATTCAGGGACACTGGGGTCATTCAAGGACACTAGGAGATCTAGTAGAGTGCTGTATGAATGAGTAAATGAGGCACAGATTGTTGTAAAGAGGTTTGAGTGTCTTGATAAGATAGAAAGGTGCTATATAAGTACAGTCCATTTACAAGGATCATTCAGGGACACTGGGGTCATTCAGAGAGACACGGGGGTCATTGAAGGACACATGGGTCATTCAGAGACACACGGGTCATTCATGGACACACGGGTCATTCAGAGAGACAGTAGAGCAGGGCTATTCAACTGGTGACTTCAATCCGGCCCACGTCATTAAAAGAATATATATGTTTATATATTGGGAGTAGTGAATTCTGTTTATTGCATTTATGATTCAATGCAATAAAATAAAAAATTTAAAAGGTAAAATAGATCATAATAAACTTTGGTCTATTACATAATGACTTTAATTGCTGGATATCCGGCCCCCGAGCAGTTGGTTTTCAGAAACTGTGGCCCCCTGAGCAGTTTTACTGAACAGCCCTGCACTAGGGTCATTCAAGGGCATATGGGTAGTTCCAAGGACACACAGGTAATTCAAGGACACACAAGTCATTCAAGGAATCATGGGTCATTAATGGGCACTGGGGTCATTCAGAGAGACACGGGTCATTCAAGGACACACGGGTCATTCAGGGACACAGGACATTCAAAGACACACTGCGGAAATTGAAGGACGTATGGATCTTTCAAGAACACACTGGGGTCATTCAAGGACACATGGGTCATTCAAGGACACACTGGGGTCATTCATAGAGACACTGGTCATTTAAGGACACTGGTCATTCAGGGACACTGGTCATTCAGAGACACTGGGGTCATTCAAGGACACACGGGGCATTCAAGGACACACTGGAGTCATTCAAGGACACACAGGTCATTCAAGGACACACAGGTCATTCAAGGACACACTGGGGTCATTCATAAAGACACGGGTCATTTATGGACACGGGTCATTTATGGACACGGGTCATTCAGAGACACTGGGGTCATCCAAGGATACACGGGTCATTCGACACACTGGGGTCATTCGTAAAGACACTGGGGTCATTTATGGACACTGGTCATTCAGAGACATGGGTCATTTAAGGACACATGGATCATTCAAGGACACACAGGTCATTCAAGTACACACTGGGGTCATTCATAGAGACGTGGGTCATTCAGAGACACACTGGGGTCATTCAAAGACAGTGGGGTCATTCAAGGACACACTGGGGTCATTCACAGAAAGTAGGGTCATTCAAGGACACACGGGTCATTCAGGGACATGGGACATTCAGGGACACTGGTCATTCAAGGACACTTGGGTCATTCATGGACACACTGGGGTCAGTCAAGGACACAGGGGTCAGTCTTCGACATACTGGGGTCATTCAAGGACACGGGGGTCAGTCTTGGACACACTGGGGTCATTCAGGGTCACGTGTCGGATTAAAACCCTGCTGTTTGAGTTCCTCTGTATCAGATTATGTCAGTATTCAACATGAAGGCTGATTAAGTCTGTCCTGTAGATTTTGTGCCCTCAACCTGAGAATTATGTGACTAAAGCCCCCAGTATACTGCCGCGTACATCCATACGCAGAGGTACGCACGTACGTACGCAGAGGTACGTGCGTACCCTCCAGGGCATGTCCGTGCAAAGATCACATTTTTACGAACGCGTACGCGGTGTCGCACAATAAACTGCCCGTCGACAAACTGTTTTGTATGCAACACCAATGTATTAAATTCCCTTTCTTCATCCCTGATCTGGCCTTTTCTTTTGTTGTTTTTTGCCAAGAGTGATCTCTTCCTCCTCCGTTGATGCCATGACTGAAATGTTGAGAAATGGAGGAATTTGTCACGAGCGAATTAAACTCAGGTGGCTGCGGGAGGGTCTGGAGATTTCCTGGTGGGCTGGTCTGATGTGTGGACTGCAGAGCCAGCGCTCTGTTATTTTTATTTTTTAGATCTTTTTATTAACAACATATAAACACAGAACACCGCTGAGGCTGCCAGCGCTCGCTTTTTTCCCCCTTTTTTCCGACCTGTCAATCAATCCAGAAGGCGTGTCAGCAAATGACCAATCGGTGACCTCAATTTGTCCCGAAGGTAAACGCCCCTTGTCTGTGAAGCTGCTCTGCAGCTGCTCGGGGTGTACGCTGGAGTATCATGTCTGAACCCTCTGCGTACCGTACATGCGTACGTACGCGTGAACGGACATACGCGGCAGTATACTGGAGCCTTAATCTGTGCAAACTGGCTCAGCAGAAGTACGGCAGACACTTTTACTATATAATCAAAGCAACATCATCATTTACTCTGATTGCTCAGTAAGAGCATTTTTCATGATGATGAAATCAAAGATTTTTCCAGCCACTATTACAAATAGAAGTTAAAATGTCAAGTAATTTAAAGTGTCGTGAATTTTGAAATAAAACCATGAAACGTTTCTTTAGTTAAATGTAGTTAATGTGCTGCAAGGAGAAATGTGTTGAATATTATCTGCAGCTCCATTATTATTCATCAAAAGTTTTAATTTGTAACCGTAGGGAAACGTGATGAGTTTCACAGGTGTGATGTAAAGTTATTGTAGCCGACACTTTCCCTGAAGAGGAACTTTACAGCAAACATGTTCTCTAACGTTCTGTACAAAACATCCAGAGGCATTCTACAAAACCAACCAGACTGAAAATCTGACCGACCTTAAAGATTTATTCAAAATGTTCAGTTGGGTTGAGCTGCCTTTAAAATACAAGTGATGTTTTTATAAATGAACTTACAGAGTCAACGGTTCTTCAAGGATTTGAAACGGTTGCTTCAGTGAGACATAAATATTTCAGAAACAGAACTCTTCATCAATCTGCCTCCAGCTGCAGTTCCCAGATCCGTTCTGCAGGTTGCAGTTCTGTCATTGACTCTGCAGTTTCCACCAGAGATCAGCTGGACTGAGATCTGGACTGTTTATAGGCCTCGCCATTAATAT